AAAACATGGAAAAAGTGTGTCTGTTTGTTCCAAGCCAAGGCTCATTATTATGTAGTTTTTTTTTTTTTTTTTTTTTGAGACAGGGTCTCCTTATTAGCCCCAACTGGCCTGGAACTCAACTCACCATGTAGACCAGGTTGGTCTCAAACTCAGGGAGATTCCCATTCCCCCCCCCCAGTGTTGGGATTAAAGCCGTGGGCCACCATACCCAGCTTTGCTAGCTTGCTTATACTGCCCAGGACCATCTGCCTACACCTACACTTTGCAGGGCCTCCTAGTCAGTTCAGACAAGGTAATCCCTCACAGACATGTATACAGACCAACTTGATAAAGAAAGTTACTTAATTGAGACACTCTTGCAGGTGAAGATTGTAGGCTGTGTCAGGATGACAGTTACTATTTAACTAAGACAAGTACTTTGTTTAAATGAAGATGCTTCAGATGTGTGTGCATCTGGTGTCTGCTTTGCTATCTCAGCATTACTAAATCCATGTGAGAATAGTTGTCTCTTGAGCATCAGAACACTATTGCCTTCCTCTGAGATGTTTTTTTCTACCTCCTTTTTAGTTATCCCAAAGACATTGCCCTTTGAGTTTCTGACTTTAACTATGACTTTGATCTAATCTTTCCTGTTTGGGTCCTAGGCAGCTTCCCTTTAAAGTATAAGCGCCAAGTCTAGGGATTACCAGAATTTTTTCTTAAGTAAATGTACTTTTGTTTTTGTCTACCTTGGTTTGCATTCATTCCCCTAAATTCCAGAAAACTTATAGTTAAATGAACAAATGTGGCCTGAATTACTATGAACTTATTATAGAAATATGAATATGTTTAGTTACATGGTAATGTCCAGATAATGCTAGGATAGTATAGTATGTTATTCCTATAATAACTATCAAAATTCTGATTTCAAAAGTACTGTTAGCTCCAGAGGTTTCATATGGGAACGGCCCATACTTGATTCTGTTCATAGTTTTACTTTTACCACAAGCTGTGTATGTGTGTGTGTGTGTGTGTGTGTGTGTTTGTGTTTGAGGTGAGGTTGTGATATAGATGTCCCACTTAGAATTGAGCACTTAATCACTTATACTCAGCACCATGGCCAGTTATGAGTCTTTGCATTAACTACTACCCATTGCAAAAAAGAAGCTTCTCTGACCATGGTTTTGAGCAGCACTATTCTATGGAAAAGTAAACATAAACATTTAGAAGCGGGCTTGAAAACATGTCTATTTAACAGAGCAACAGTTGGCTCACCCCTAGGGTCTATGCTCTTTTTATCCATGGGCCTTTGACCACATTTATAGTGCCAGGCATGAATTTCCTCCTGTGGAGTGGGCCTCAGATCCAATCAGCTGTTAGTTTACCTTCATAATATTCATGTCACTATTGATCAATGAGAACATCTTGCCTGGCAGGTCAATATTATAACACGCAGGGTCTACCTCTGAATACTTTTCTCCTCCAGCAGCCTGCCTAGCACCTTAAGACACTATGAAACCTAGCCTGCAGAGAGGAAGTTTGCAGATTAGTTCCAGCCTGATTTCTCTATGTCTTACAACCAAAGTGTGGTGTGTTCAGCAACAGGGTCTTACCATCTAGTTCTAACAAGCAGCTAAGAGCAATGGCAATAGCCTATATATTGTTTTGGGGGCCTCTGGAGCCTCTGACCAATAACTCACAGGGAGGTATCTCATGTCTGGCACTGAGATTTTTTCTTAATAGCCCTTGGCTTCTGGGTGCAGAATTTATCCACCCATGTTTCTGCATTCAAACTTCTTTATGTATTAAAAAATTTTTTTTGACTTTATGTGTATGTGTGTTTTACATGTAGGTATGTAAGTACACCATGGACATGCAATGTCTGCAGAGACCAGAAGTGGGCATCAGATTCCCTGAAACTGGAGTTATAAACAGTTGTTAGTCACCATATGGGTGCTGGGAACTAAACCCTCTGCAAATGCAGCCAGTGTTCTTAACCATTGAACCATCCTCCAGCCCCTTTATTATTATTATTATTATTATTATTATTATGGTCTTTTTGAGACAAGGTCTCCCTATTTTAAAATTATAATTAAAAAATTATAATTTAAAAAATATAAAGGAGCCAGGCATGGTGGCACGTGTCTTTAATCCCAGCACTCGAGAGGCAGAGGCAGGTGGATCTCTGTGAGTTCAAGGCCAGCCTGTTCTACAGTAAATTTCTAGATATATTTGTATTATCTCAGGGAGTTACTGTTTGGTTTTGTTGTTTTGGATTTATTTTCACTTAAAAATTTTTGGACTTTTTTATATATACCAGTGTTTTGCCTACATGTATGTAAGCAGTGCCTGTGGAGGCTAAAAGAGGGTGTTCATTCCTTGGATTGGGAGTCAAGGAAGGTTGTTGACTGCCATATGGGTATTGGGGAACCTAACCTGGGCCCTCTGCTACAGTAGCAATGCTCTTAACCACTGGGCCATCTCCACTATTTGTTCTGAGGTTTGTTGTAGTTAAAGATCAGTTTGAATTGAAAGACTAATTTGAAAGGTCTAAGATTTTCAAACAATTATAAAGCTAATTAGAACTTGATCATCATCCAAATGCCTGAAGGAAGATTCCTTTTTCCAGTTACCCTAAAAGGTGCTTTTTTTTTTTGGAGACAGGGTGTTCGGTAACCACTGCTGGCCTGGAACTGTGTAGACCAGGCTGGCCTGGAACTCACAGAGATCCACTTGCCTCTGCCTCCTGAGTGCTTAAGGTACATCTTTTAAATGCAAGACAGAGAAGGGGCTAGAGGGGTGGCTTAGTGATTAAGAGCACTTGCTGGTCTTTCAGAGGTCCTGGGTGTGGTTCCCAGCACCCACATAGCAGCTAACAACCATCCCCCACTCCAGTTTCAGGGGATCCAGTGCACTCTTCTGGCCTCTTTGAGCATTGTACACACTTGGTGCACTTACATACATGTGGGCAAAACACTCATACACATAAAATAAAAATAAAATTAAATACTAAATGGTGTTTTAAGCAATTTTTCTGTTCCTTTACTCATTTTTTTTTTTCTAAATTTTATTACGTTTATTGGCTTTGTTGTTGTGTGTATGTTCCACAGCATGCTTGTGGAAGTCAGAGAACAACTTAGTGGAGTCGATTCTCACTTGAATTCAGATTCTCAGCCTTGGTGGAAGTGCCTTTACCTGCTGAGCCATCTTGCTGGGCCCCTTTATTCTTTTATATTATAGAATATTTTAAAATTAGGTCAAAGCATTTATCTTAGCCTAAGTTATTTTATTTTGCTGTTGTTGGTTGGTTGTTTTCTGTTGACAGAGTCTCTGTGTGTTGCCCAAGTTGGCCTCAAACTAGTTTGGTATGCTCTTAGAGTGATCATCCTCCTTCACCCTCTATGTTAATACTACATCTAGCTTGCTTGGCATATTCATTGCATCTGTGACCAAACACTTTACAGAAACAACCTGAGAGAAGAATGATTTATTTTGGCTCACAATTACCATAGGGTTCAGGCCATGGCTCTCTAGCCCTTATGTGTACTTGGGGAGAACGTCATAGCAGCAGGAGGGCATAGTGCAGGAACTTCTTCACCTCATTGTAGACAGGAAACACAGGAATATAAAAAAGGGCCTGAATAGGGTGTGGTGGTGCACTTAGTCCCAACCCTCAGGAGGCAGAGGTTGGCAGATCTCCATGAGATCAAGGCCAGCCTAGTCTACATAGCTAGATCCAGGCCAGCTAGGGCTACAGGGAGACACTATCTGGAAAAAAAATAAATAAATAAGAAAAACTTAAATTGAAAGCCTGCTGTAAGACCCAAGGCAACTCTGAGCTTGTGAGCACCTGTAAAATTTATACAAGTTGCTTGCTTACTTCCACCAAAAATAACAGCACAGGGTAAAGTTACTTCTTTCTTTCTTTCTTTCTTTCTTTCTTTCTTTCTTTCTTTCTTTCTTTCTTTCTTTCTTTCTTTCTTTCTTTCTTTCTTTTTTTTCCCAGTTTTTTGAGACAAAGTCTCACCATGTAGCCCCAGCTAGACTGGATCTCACTGTGTGGACCATCCTAGACTGACCTCAATCTCAAGGGATCTGCTTGCCTAGTGCTGGGATTTAAGACGTGGTAGCATGTCCAGCTACTTTTTTTTTTTTTTTTTTTTTTTTTTTTTTTTTTTAGGCAGGGTCTCCCTGTAGCCCCAACTGGCCCAGAACTTACTCTATAGACCAGGGTGACCTTGAACTTAGAGAGATCCTTCTGCCTCTGCCTACAAAGTGCTAGGATTAAAGGCGTGTACCACTACACCCAGTCCAGCTACCATTTTTTAAAAATAGATTTTTATTTGTGCATATATGTATGCATGTATGTATAGATGTCTTCCATGAGTCTGGATTCTTGGAGAGGGTAGAAGAGGGAGGGTTTTGGATCCCCTGGAGTTGGAATTATAGCCTGGATGATGGGTGGTTGGAACCTAATCCTAGTCCTTTGGAAGAGGGGGAAGTGCTCTTAATCAAAGAGCCATCTCCTGCCTGAAACATTGCCATTCTGAAAGGGAGGTATGGGGGCATAGAAAGCACTTCCAAGACTGGGCCTGGTGGTAGACACCTCTAATCCCAGCATTCAGAAAACAGAGGCAGTCCGAGCTCTCTGTGTTCAAGGCCAGCCTGACCTACATAGCAATTTCCATACCAGCTGGGGCTACAGGGAGACCCTGTCTCAAAAAAAAAAGAAAGCACTACCCAAACCCAGTAAGGCAAATAATTAAATTCCGTAGCTCTGTGTCTGTTATCTGAAGCAAGTAGTGTCGGGAGGTGAGGTCCCTACAGATTTGGGCAGCCCTGTCCCCATGACCTCGTTTTTTGTAGCCCATATGACTTCTGTTTTAGACTGATTCCACTTGTTGCATGGGGCTCTCAGGCATATTAGATGTTTTTTACATCTTCAACACCCAAGAGTCTTGGTTTAAGTTTAACCACCAGCCTTAGAGCTTCGTCCTCTTGGGAACTGCCTGCTGGGATCCTGACCTCCCAGTCTTTTGAAATCACAGTGGAAGCTTTCTTGACCCCATAACTTACTTACCTATTTTTGTTTTTTGAGGTAGGGTCTTACTATGTAGATCTTCTTCCTCTGCCTCCTGAGTGCTGGGGTTAAAGGTGCATACCTGACCCTATAACTCTTCCATCCTGCATTTCTATAAAAACAGCATCACATGCGTAGTGCCAGGTCTGCTGCCAGCTCAAGTAGTATCTGGTTCCCCTAGGATCATAGTTGTAGTGGCCTTGGAGTTCCTTGGTGACAGAACCCAGGATAACAGTTTTTTACTGTGTTGAAACAGAACTCAGGGCTTCATATATTTGAGGCATGTGCTCTACCACTGTCATAATAGTCCAACCTCTCAATTTTTTTTTTTTTTTGGTCTTTTTGAGACAGGGTCTCCTTGTAGCCCCAGCTGTCCTGGAACTCACTATGTAGACCAGGCTGGCCTTGAACTCACTCTGCCTCCCAAGTGCTGGGATTAAAGGCGTGTGCCGCCACGCCCGGCCAACCTCTCAATTTTTAAGATTATATTGTATTTCATATCACTGTGACCACAATATCTGATCTATACAATTTAAGTGAGAAAAGGTTTATTTTGGCTTGTAGTTTTAGCCCATCATAGTGGGGCAAACGTGGTGGAGTGGTTTCATCTGCAGAGATGGGAATATGAAGTGGCAGCTGTTGACACAGTGCAGAGTGGGAAGCAGCACAGGCTGGATCTAGGGATGGGTATAACCTTCAAAGGCCCTCCTCTACTGACCTCCTGGCCAAGTACTGCCTTCTAAAGGTTCCACAGCCTTCAAAATAGTACAAACTGGGGACTAACAGCATAAAGATGAGCCTGTTAAGAATATTTCTGATTCAGGGACCTGGAGAGATGGCTTAGCGGTTAAGAGCACTGACTGCTCTTGCAGAGGACCTGGGTTCGATTCCCAGCACCTACATGGCAGCTATGAACCGTCCTTAACTCCAGTTCCAAGGAATTCAAAGCCCTCTTCTGACCTCCGTGGCGTTGCATGACACAGGTGCACTCACATACAATGCAGGCAATACATTCATACACATAAAATAAAAATAATAAAATACATTTTTTAAAAAAGATTATTTCTGATTCAAACCATTACAAATCTTGAGACTAAGAAGTTTGAGATTTGTTATTTAACCTAGGTTTGTTGGTCAAACGAATGTATTCGTGTATGTGAAATAATTTGGCAAAATGTTTTAAATGTACATTTATAAATATTTTTTGAGCTTCTGTTACTACTATGTAAATCTTTCAGATTTAGAAGAGATATGAAAAGAAGATGTGTTCAGATCATTGTTACTAAGAAGCTTAGTAGCTCATAAGGAGACTAGAGGAGACAGTTCACATGTAGTTTTTCTGTTCTGTGAACCTTATAGTGGAAATTGATTTGTAGTCTGCTATTCATTAGTGTAGTCCTTTTAGTGGCCCACAGTGCGTTTTGAGTTTGAAGTTGTCCTCTTTTTGTCTTATAGGTATAGAACAAGATGCAGTGAATACTTTTACCAAATACATATCTCCAGATGCTGTTAAACCAATACCGATTACAGAAGCAATGAGAAATGACATCATAGGTAAGTAGTACTTGATGTCATGGGGAAAAGAACAGACTAGTTTGGTTATTCACTAGGAGGTAGGTTTTTTTTTTTGAGACAGGGTCTCCCTGTAGCCCCAGCTGGTCTGAACTCACTATGTAGACCAGGCTGGCCTTGAACTCACAGAGATCTGCCTGCCTCTGCCTCCCAAGTAGTGTTGGGATTAAAGGCGTGCGCCACTACTGCACCCAGCGTCTAGGAGTTTTTTTATGAGCATGGAATATAATAGTTCCCTTCCTAGTCTGCTTTCAAGAAACTTTTTCTTACCTGATTCTAGCTCCCTTCTCTTTTATATGTAGACCCAGGTTCTTGAACTGGGACCTAAACAATAGCAAGCATAAGAATAATGGCATGTTTATTGAACACTCCCTATGTATCAGACAATAGTGTAAGGATTTTCCATGTATAAATGCATTTACTAAGAGCCTCATGGTTTTTTGTTGTTGTTGGTTTTTGTTTATGAAAGTATTGCCTGCACCTTTGTCATGCAATGCCTGCAGAAGTCAGAAGAGGGCGCTGGATCCCTGGAACTGGAGTTATGGACAGTTGTTAGCTGCCATGTGGGTGCTGGGAACTGAACCTGGCTCCTCTGTAAGAGAGCAACTGCTGAGCCATCTCTCCAGTGCTCTATTTTTTTTTTTTTTTTCCTTTTTTGACAGGGTCTCCCTAGTCCCGGTCTACCTAGAAGTCACTGTGTGGACCAGACTGGCATTGATCTCATAGAAATCCACCTACCTCTGCATCAGTAGGGCTGGGATTAAAGGTTCAAGCCACTACACCCGGCTTATGAGATTCTCATGGGATAAATACAGTTAGCATTTTGTAAATTAAGTCAGGCGTGAGATTGAGGCCAAACTGGTCTACATAGTGAATTCCAAGCTAGCTGGAGCTACAAGGAGACCCTGTTTCAAAAACAAAAACCATTTTGTAAATGAGGACTCTGGAACACAGAGAACTGCTTTGCCTACAGTAATGATTGAGACATGGCAGTGTGTTCATAATATAGGTTATCAGCCTTCTCTTAACATCTTCACACCCCTGCCAAAAAGAGACTAAACAGAAATATCAAAAGTGTTTGGAGTTTGTCAAGATAATATATCTATGTTTGCATAGATAATACTGTGTCAGCTATTCTCTGTAGGTCACAAGTTAAAAATGAAGAACAGCTGGACATGGGTGTACACATCTGTAATCTCAAGGCTGGGTAGGCAGAGACAGGTGGATCTCTGGAGCTCACTTTTATCCAGGCTAGCAAAATTAAATTAGTGGGTTCCAGGTTCAGTGAGAGACTTTGTCTCAAAAAAATGAGGTGGAGAACAATTGAGGAAGACAACTAACATTGACTTGACTTATACACATGCACTTGCACATGCACACACCACATGAACATGTACACTACATTCAACACATACAAAGAATTGGGGGAAGAGGTTGCTATGGAAGGCCTCCATAGGTGGACCTCTATTTATAGATGCAAGTCGTTCATATATCCATTCAACAAATATTTATTATATTTCTACAAGTTGCTGTGTTGTATTTTTTTTAGGATTTTTTATTTTATGTGTATGTGTATTTACCTGCATGTATATATTTGTACCACATGTATACCTCTGTGGTACCCACAGAGGCCAGAGGAGGGCATTGAATTTCGTGGAACTGAAGTTACAGATGGTTGTGAGTCACCATCTGGGTGCTGGGAATGGAACTTGGGTCCTCTGCAAGAGCAGCAAGTGCTCTTACCTGCTGAGCCACCTCTCTAGCCCCTAAGTTTTATAATTTTATTCATCAAAAAATTAGTATTTGTGATCTATAAAACAAAGAGCAGCCGGGCGTGGTGGCACACACCTTTAATCCCAGCACTCTGGAGGCAGAGGTGGGTGGATCTCTGTGAGTTCAAGGCCAGCCTGGTCTACATAGTGAGTTCCAGGACAGCTGGGGCTACAGGGAGACCCTGTCTCAAAAAGACCAAAAAAAAAAAAAACCACACAAAAAAACCCCACAAGGATTATTCTCACAGTGGATTCTTCAAGGTAGGGTACCTTCAGTTGAGTACTCTATGCTCACTAAGAATGAAGGAAGCATGACCCTTTCCAAGCTCAGCTGTGGCTCTGAAATTAGTCCACCTTACTTTCCAGTCAATATCTGTTGTCTGTTTTGGGGCCCATCAGATGCTGCCCCTGTTTTCTTTTCCTTCATGTAAATACACAGCCTTCTGACTGTTCTGGATTAAATTTTGGGATTTGTGGGGCAGTTTTCTTTACAGATGCTGTTGTAGGATCTAGGGTTTTCTAGGTAGGTGTTTGGTTTCTAGATGGAAACCCAGATTTCCAGCTTTTCCTAGTAATACAGCTAGAATACCTGAACTGTTTAGAATTTGGTTGTTTGAGGGATTGTTTGGCCAGTGATTCCTTTGGGAAGTACGTATCAGTTGATAGCCAAACTGTTTTGGAGTAGGAAAGAAAAGGAAGTTTTGAACCAAAGAAGACATTAAAATAATGCCATGTACTTCTTTTTTTCTTTTACTTACAAGTCACCAAATTAATGATATAATCTCAAGGAAGAAAGAAATCTTGAAGGATCAGATTGATGACATTTAGTTGCGGGAGGTTCGAGCCAGTGACCCCCGCGCAGCGATGATTGGGGATGAGTAAGTGCGCCCAGTACTGGGGACTCTCAGGTGCAACAGGGAGCCTAGTCAAGCAGGGACTCATTTATTGCAGGTGTTACAGAGCTTATAAAGGCAAATGGAAATCTCTTCTCCCCCCCCCCAACCAAGTGTCCAATCATATCAAAGGTGAACTTGAGCATGCAGTCTCCTCTCCATAACACGGCATTGTGTTCGCAGGGTGATCACATGCTGCCAGGATGCACGGAAATGACAGGAGCCAATCAGCGATTCATTAAAACAAGTTTGGCCGTGTTCCATGTTCCGGCCGTTTCCTCTAGGCGCCAGACAAGTCTGATTACGCCCCGACTGTTTCCGCTAGGCGCCATCCTGCCTCGCCCCTGGCCTCAGGCCCCGGCACCTGGGTCTTCAGTTCTATTCCATGGATCGCCTTGCCTGTCATTGGATCATGCACCTGGCAATGTTGATGTCCTGTCTTAGGAGTACTTGTCATGGGACATCTTACCCGTCCTTGGCTAAAAATGCGTCATGATTAAGGGCAGCCGCGTGGGTAATGCCGCCCATGACAGTCTTAGTCTCTGCCTTACTTGGTTAGCCAAGTGTGTGTGAGCAACCGGAGGGGTTCCTGGGGGAGTCCATAATCATGAGGGGTGGGCCGTGGCAGTTCCAAGGGTCCTCTGTCACTGAATTATCTGGTAAAGACACTTAAAGATAAGCATTATCAAGAGAAACAAAGCAAGTCATGGCGTAGGACAAGTTGAAATACTTCTGAGACCATGTTCCTTTTAGCCAATCAGCCAGTTGTCAAAGAGGCAGACTGGCAATGAAGCCAAGGAACTGGGTCCTTCACCCCAGATGGATATAAATAAAGAGATGAATTTTGTCTCATGAACTATTGTCAATGGACCATCATCCTCGTCAGTTGGATCCTGGCCTACCCACTTAAGGTTTTTCGCAGGCACCCATATGGGGTTTGAATCTCCTATAGGGTAGACACAGCCAAAGCCTTGACCCATGGTTAACAATGGATCTGGGCCTCTCTATTGTCCTTTAATAGGGTCCTTCCACCTTACATGTACCTCAGGTCTCCTGTTATCCCCAATGTTTCTGAAACTGGGATTCCAACTGATTTTTTTGAAAATTAAGAACATTAATAGTGAATAAGGCCATACCCGTGTTGGTAGGGGCTTATTCCCCCTTTTTGTTTTTGTAATTGAATTTTTAGGTTTTGATGGTTGCGTTCTATAATGGCTTGACCTTGGGGATTGTAGGGAATTCCTGTATTGTGTTGAATTCCCCAAAGTGAGAAGAAATCTTGTAAATTTTTACTCACAAAACATGGTCCATTATCAGTTT